TTTGGTGAAATATACTTTCACATTATATATCAATGTGACTTTTATCTGTTCTCAGAAATCAAAAGCCATCTTAAGACTCGTACAATGGGCAATGTGCAAAAGGTTGTAAACGACCAACTGAAAGCAGTTTCAGTTAGAAGCATTTTAGCACTGTCACTAGAAACAATATCACCCCTAATGTACAGTTTCTCAAAAGATTTCAAAGAAGCTTTATATATATAATTTTCAAAAGGAAGATATTTTTATAACAATCTCTAAAAATTACTTTTTAAATACATCATTATAGAATTACAATAATATCCATGCGATTGCAAAAAATATAAAGGATTTCATTTAACATTTAGCTTTCTAAATACATCCAAATATTATTAAAATCACAAAATAACTTAAAAAAAATGTTCAAGTAATTTAACCATGAGAAAGAAACTCTATCAAAAAGACAGATATTAAACACAAGTTTTCTTCGATTTCGATGAATAAAATTGTACAACCCTGTTATCCTTCACGAAAAAACGATCGATAACCAGTTTAACGAAGATATTATCTTTGACAACGCGGCTTCATCGACCGTTGCATAAATGGAAGACGAGTCGAAGGGGGGTTCGTCGAGGCGAATCGTCACGTAACTGAAGAACCATATCGAATGAAATTTGCAATGGAAATTTAATCTGCCTCGGTTTGTACCGAAGAGTACCGGGCTGCTGTTCCTTCTTAACGTCCCGCGAAATTTTCGAAACGGAAAATAACACCGAAGGTTTCGAATAGAAATTATCCTTGCTCGAACACACCTATTTACGATCCCTGTGAACGCATGCAGAGGTAAACCTCGAGTGGTTCACAAGAATATTTTATTTAAACCGCGAAAAAGATCGATTTTTATCCATATATAATGTGTCTCAGATTTATCTCGAAATAATGTAAATAAGAAAAATTATACGAAAAAAAAAAAGCGTTGTCCTTATTTCTCCATGTGATTTATTATTTGTATTCAAATTAAACTTGTATTTCTTTATATCGAATAATAACTTGTCTGAAATATTTTTTTTTCGTATCATTCATATTTTAGTCATGATAAACCGGACACACTGTACGTGTACGGGAAACGAGAAAACTTTCACGCATATTGTGATCCAGAAAGGTAATCAATTTCATCGAAACAAGAAGTGATACAACCTGTGCACAGATTTTGACAAATGAAGAGGATCCTGCCGGTGAAGTTTTTCGAAATCGAACGATGGATCCAATATCCGGAAGCATAATTTATTCGAATATCAAATTAATCCTATGGCTGGTGCAACTCGTTCGATGAAAAATTCATAAGAGTTTCTCGCAATTAAGGGCACCCGTTCCCCCTAAATTTTCTAAATTTCATTCTTCTCCAAAGAAGTTGGAGAAGAAGAGGAGGGGAGGGGAGAAAGGAAAAAGGAAACAAGTCTGATCGAATTTGCATCGCGTTAGGAATATCAAGCACGGTTGCACGACGTCAGATGGCAACACGGGGGTCGAGTGGCCTGGCATGTAAACCATTTAATAGAGCAATGCGTCATTCGCTGTGATTATGCAAAATTGGCCATCTCGGAATTGAAAAAAGTCAGGGGGGAAAAAAATACATCGTGAGGATGAAAGATGAACTTTTATTTTCACGCGCAGCGAGCTTCCTTTGCTTTATCTTTTTTTCGTTCTCTTATTTTTATAAATCTCGATGTTCCTCCGACTAAGTCAAATCCGTTTTGTACGAGCAGGGAAATGAAATAAAAGTTACGACCGAGTACGACTCTTTGAGTCAAACGTTCTCTTTACAGTTTTATTCCACGCATCCCCCTCCTCATCCCTTCTACACCAGAAGAGGATTGTTCTTTGGCAGAAAAGATTTACGAAGAAACACAATTTCTTGATAGATTCATTCGATGGAATTGATTCGATTCCGTGTGCACGCTCGTGGAAATAATATTTTTGTTTATGAAAATGTTCTTGTACAATTTCTGCTGAGAGCAGTATTCATTATCTAACGACTTATAAATGTAATTTTCAATTTTGAAAAAATAATATATATATATAGTTAATTATTTTGAGGCGATCGAATATCGTTGTTTAGATCTAAGATTTAGAATAAATCTATGGCACATATAAGATATTTTAATCGTTGAGTTAAAATTTGAAGGATTTTAAAAAAATAATGTTTAAGAGAGTTGTAGAAAGAAGATAATGGAAGGATATTTATTACAAATAAACGAAATTAAATTAAATATTCTCAAATTAACAATTTCAATTCTTCAATCGTACGAAATTTATAAATATAACGATGTATATTTGCAGATGTAATATCTCTCGATATACACCAAACTTAATTCAATTACTCCAGCTTCTCTGTTGCCTATTTTCTCGTCATTAAAAAAAAAAAAAGAAAAAAGCGAAGGAAAAGAAGAAGAAAAAAAATGATTCCATCGCTTAAACGTCTGAACTTTCATCAGTGAACAAAATAATAATAACGGTATTATTTGCATTTTATATTGGCTAAAGTGGGAACGAAAATATCTCCACTCTCCAAACGCTCTCTAAACGTTTCCTCTCGAGGCGATTTCCGTGGCATCCGGTTTCATTTCGCGGTTTCGTTTTGCCTTGAACGTCATAAGGGCCCACTCGTGCGCAGCCAATTCAGTTAATTTCATTTCCAAAAAAAAAGAAAAAAAAAAGACGATTTTGCGCCGCTTGCCTTTCTGCTTCGTGACTTCCTGCCTGCTCGACTTATTCGTCTCTTCTATATCATCCTTTTACCAACCCATTTCTTTCCCCTCCATTGTCGCCTAGGTATTGTTCGGAGAAATTCCTCTCGAGGTATCTTTTCGTCGAGATGATCGCGCTTCCGCGAGGTGGACAAACGTTTGGTGAAAGAAAGAGCCCGCAAAATGGAATGAAATTCCCTAGAGTAATTTCTTTTCTTTTCTTTTTTTTTTTTTTTTTTTGATACGATTTCTTTTTACAATACCCAAACTCTCCTCTCTTTTCATAATTATATAAAAATATATTTTTAGTAAGGTTAAAGTAAAGTTTGGTAAAGTAAAAAGAACGTTATATATTTAAAGTCAGATGAAAATGAAGAAAGGCAAGAGACAATAAAAATTTCCTGGAGTAAATATAATAAATCTTCAATATCTTTTCAATATCTGTTATTATAAATTCTCTAATAAAAAATGTGATAAAGAAATAAATATATAGATATACTCAAATATATAAATGTTAAAAATCTTTACAGAATTATATAAATAATTATTATAATTATTTACATCAGAAATGTATATAATAACTGTACGTATATATATAATTCATAATGTAAAATCGTGGTTCGTAGAATCATTGAGAATTCGCGTTATAGACTCTATGCAAATCGAAAAACCGGTTTTAGAATTGAATGAGAGTGACTAGTCCGTTGGATGTCGTAATTCTGTCCTGGACTCGAGAAATTTTAGGGAAGGGAGAATTCTGTCTTGAATGTCATTCACTTGCAAGGAAGTTAGGAAAGTTATCGAAGTACGTTACTGCTTAGAAATTAGGGATTGGTTGAGTTAAGAGAAGATGGATGTACTTTTCTCTAATAGTGATTATAAAGGAAATGGATGCACAAACTTTACATTAGTTCATAGATTTTAACGTATTCTATTCAATGAAATTAAAATGATCTCAAATGGAAACTGGTATCTCTAACTAATGAAACTCGATTACTTTTCCTTTATACATTTAAATAATATTATTATTTGTATAACTTTTTTCATTATTAAATTATTATTTTTTATTAATTCATAAAATCAAAAGAATTTCAAATTGGAGATGTTCAATAACTGATACATCATTGCGTAGCCTTGTGTGTGTATTTATCTTATTATACTTTTTATTTGAAATATATTCATGCAAACTGATATATTCTCTGAAACAAATGAGTATAACTTCATTTTTTTTTATACATAATTAAATGGTTTTCTTTTTGAGAGAAGTTCGCTTTTTTGGTATCCAAGAAATTTTCTTCAGACAATTTTTAAATAAGCTATTAAAAGCTATTAATTTTTACAGCTCTTATCGAATTGAATAAAAAATTTATTTAATAATATTTGTTTAGCATTTATCATTTAAATAGGAAGAGAAATGAGATAAGAGATAAGAACTTCATTTTAAAACTCGATGATAAAATGTACTAGGAAGACTAATGGAAAACTTTGGATTTAAACATCAAATAATTACTTTGTAAGATGACTTAAAGTAATTGCGTAATAACACATTATTAAAAAAAATAATACGAATATATTAGATATTCTGCTAAATATTATAAATATCTAAAATTCTACGTATACATTCAATTTATCCTCCATTATATAATCCATCCTGAATCATTGATATTAATTGAGTATTTCATCATTTTTATCTGTCTTATTGTGATATTTAGGTGCATACACATCGGTTTAAAACTTTATATAGATTAACATTTCTACAACATTACATTAAACACATTTATATCCATACAAATAATACATTAATTACATCGATTAAATCTTCTCTTCTTTTGTCCATCTTTTACTAATCACCTTTTCCCAAATATCTAAACTAATAGAAACATTTTAATTATTCTCGATTGCACAACTCGTTTAACAATGATTAAATAATTCAATTTATATTCATGTAGAATATAATATCAAATCTTCTCTCCTTTTGTTCTTTTCCTAATCACCTTTTCCCAAATATCTAAACATAGTAATAAAAATAACGAGTCAAACTAATAGAAACATTTTAATTATTCTCGATTGCACAACTCCTTTAACAATGATATAACTCAATTTATATTCATGTAGAATAATAATACGTTCCATCTCATGCTGCTACATTATGAATGGATCTTTAGGTCGGCCATGTTAGTGATTTGTCGTATCGAGGTTTCTCACTCCGTCTGTCTCCTTTCCCCACGAGCTCAGTTTTATCGGTGTGTACAAGCCAGCTTATAATACCATTTTCAACAGCGTTCTCCGCCAGTCCGCTGCAACGACGATCCAAAGCAACAACTCCCCGCGTAATTGCAAGCGATGTGCGAGCGATCGGAGAAAGACTTGTTGGATCCTTTGATCAACAAAATAGTGGCGAATCTTGGCAAAGATTTCGATGACGTGCGCTACGAGATATCCGTGCCAAAAGATTCCTTCTTCATCTCGAATCTGTACTACCTCAACATAAACTCGAATGCCAAGGACACGGATAAAAGGAGAACGGTGAACGTTGTCTTGAAGAAACCATCCGTTATATCCGACGTGCGTGACGTAATGAGAATGAACGAGCAATTCCACAACGAGATACTGTTCTACCAAAGATACGCGAAACACCACGAAGAATTTCCTCGATGCGTGCTCGCCGAGGAGAAACCGCCGTCCGACTCGGCGATCGTTCTCGAGAACGTGGTCGCCCAGCGTGGATACGATATCTGCAAATGGAAATACGACGTGCCTCTCGAATACACGATGGCCGCGTTTCGAGAGATCGCGAGATTCCACGCCAAAGCTTACGTGGCGAAGGAGAGGCGCCGCGAACAATTCTTCGATTTCGTGAACGATCTCCAAGAGGTCAGGTATTACGAGGGATCGATCTTGAAAGTTGTTTACGACGGAACGGCGAGCAGATCGGTGGAATATCTTCGCGGGAGGGGATACGATCCGCGATTCTGTGACAAACTCGAGGATAAATTGAGGAGCACGTACGATAATCTGATTATGAAATACGTCGAACCCGAGGAACCTCTCGCCACCCTTTGCCACGGTGACTTCACTATGAACAATACGTTGTTCAAGAACGAAAACGGTGAAATTAAATGTATGTTCATCGATTTCGCGTTGACTAGGTACGGATCGCCGGTCTTGGATTTGTCCACGTTTCTCTGTCTCCATTGTGCGAGGGAGGTGGACAAGGGCATGCTTGATAAAGTTTTGAAGGTGTATCACGATTCCTTGACTCGTTGTCTCGAGGAAAACGGCGTGGACAGTGAGAAATATTCGTACGAGGCTTTGCGAGAGGATTACAGGAGGAAGGGTCTGTTTGGATTTTTCATCGCCACGTTTTTCTTGGCCACAGTGATGGGTCTGAGTGACGGTGGTCCGGAAAAATTGTTCGAGATGGATATACAGGATTGGGGACCGGCATTGCGTGAACAAGGTGGTGACGAATGTTCGGAAATTATGGCGAATATGTTGTTGAGATTGAAAGAATTTGGATGTTTGGACCATTTGCTTGACGATTGATTTTTAATGCTCCTTCGTTGATTTTTAAAGTATTCTTGTTATTGTTTTTTTCTTTAAAGTATTTTATACATTTTCTTTTAAAGTTCTTTTCAATCTCAATATTTTCCAAGTCCATATTTTAAATTAACGATAATAAATAAAAAAAAGAATTTGCGTTTTATTATTTGAAAATGAAAATGCGAAATTTTAAAATGATAATGAAAAGAGAAACGTGGAAGTAAATCAAAAAAGTCGATACAAATAAACGAATCTTTGTACGTATTTGAGCGTGATCGTTTCGTTATCTTTCTTATCATTTGTTTAAAGACACACTGTTTTAAAGATATATCTTTGTAACCTAATTGGAAACACTGGCGTGTAATTAACGTATTAATTACATACATGCACATACAAGCATCTGACAATCATCGTTTTTATTACTTCTATTACGTAGTGTGACGTGTTTTTTTTATTTCTCATCAAAAACATAGAAATAATAAATACGCGTAAAAGATTTTATAAAGAATTTTTCTAAACGTTCTTCTATTGATTAAAGACGTATGCTCATCGATTTCTATTCAATATCGATCATGAAAGCCAAAGACCAAATATTGTCTGAATGTGATAATATAATCTTACAAATACTTATAATACTTAAAATTAGTAAACATATAAGTAATACATTAAGACAGAAACGATGCGTAGTTGAAAATATTTTTCTATTCTCATAAGCTATACAATATCTCATATTTAAGCACTATTTTATAAGAATTAATATTATTTATTTACAATTTTTAAATTTAATTAAAAAATCGTGATTTTAATGATAGTTTATATTTATGTAAAACTTAATGAATTATAGTGCAATTTTGTTGTCAATAAAAAATTTCTTTGTCGAAATTAAATCCCGAAATTTTTTCACTTAAATATAATATTGTCTAACAATTTTTATTATATTATATTATTATTATATTATTATATTATATTATTATATTATTTTATTATATTATTTTATAATATCAATGCACTTACGAATAATCCATCGAAACTTAAATGCTAAATGTTTTAATAATAATTAAATATATTCAATGATTCAGAATTTTTTCAAAAATTTTTACTTATTGAAAAGCTCGAACATGAATAACCACTATCCATAATTTGAGTAATACCAAAATAAAAAAATGAAAACTTACAGAGCAAAAAATAAACAAATTAAAAATATATACATTAATTTGTCAAAAAATTAATTTTATAAATATAATTCGATCAGATGACTCTCCATCTTCTCGTAAAATATTACACGTACATTTCCACAAAATGGTAATCCTTTCCTTTATTGGTCGAATGATTTGCGTAAAATCTCGAAAATCTTGTTGGAGAGGGAAGAGAAGAAATGGATCAATTGTTACAACATTTCCATAACGAAACCGTATCGAGAAATTTGTCGTAGATATCTCTTGTTTTCGTAAGGACACAAGAAGAAGTAACAAGCCACGTAAAAGGATGACTCGAAACACGCGTGTGTACATATATACAATATATACCGCCGTCATCGTACATATCCAACGAAATAAAGCTCACCGGGCACTGGGACGATGCGCAAAATTATTCTTTCACCTATATATATATATATATATATATATATATATATGCTATCTGCATATCTGCCTTTCAAATAGAGGCACTCCGCGACGCGCGGAAAAACTTTGTCATTTCCATATATTTCGCCCACCACTGACATCCCCCGTCTCCCGGGAAATTCACTTACGTTCTAACCTGAATTTTAAGCCTGTTAAATTCTGCTGCTGGTTTCGCGTGTCTTCGCGGCCGGAACAGGAAGCGAAGGGGGGAGGGGGGAAGATGGAGGAACTCAAGGGAAGACTTGGACGAGTTTGTATGCTTTCATCCGATGGGGGATGGCAGAGGAGGAGAAGGGTGTGTATAGAGTGGATCAACTGATTAGGGCGTTGTAAATTGGAAATTTGAACTTTTGTGAAAAGAATTCAGGATGGCGGAGGAATTCGATTCGGAGAGTTGTGAAGAGAGAATTTGATAGAGGGGATTGTGGGTAGGTTGGAATTTGGGCACACTTTTGTGAAGAAAAGAATATTAGAATTGAATTGTAAAAGAGTTTGGATTGGGAATTGAGAGATTTGGGGTCAGGAGTTTAGTGATATTTTTTTTTTTTTTTTAATGTCTTCATTGTGCTTGAAAATTATGGATTCTTCTTTCTACAAAATTATAAGATTAATTACTAATTATTTTTTGGAAGATTTGGAAGTTTTTGAAGATCGAAGATAATACAGCACTTCTATTTTTGAGAAATTATTAATTATTTATATTAATTATTTAATTTATTTGCAATATAGAATTTGAAAGGCAAATTATATATATATATAAGTATAACTTATTTATATTTAGGTGGTTTTAAATACCTATTTTTGTGTGTGTCTAAAATAAAATTTGATTGATTAGTAATGATCACTGGATATGAATTTAATCTGTATCTATATTAAAATAGCGATAAATATTCAAATATTTACCTAACACCTGTATTTTCATTTATTTTATCTATTATTTATTTTTCTTGTCCAAATTAATATGAGTAAATAAAAATAAATATATTACATTTTATCAATATTTAATAATCAGTTAAAGAATATTAATATTAAAATGAAAAATATATATTATATCATTAAATAAAAATATATACAAGTTAATCTAATTAAATATAGTATAGAAAAAATAATTTGATATTCTGATCTAAAATCTAAATCATTAATTAAAAATTAAAAGATTGCATTATAAAAGATTATTAAAATTAATTAATAATTATTTTATATTATTAAAGTCTTTCAAAAACCTTTCATAAATTCTTAGTAATGAAATCATAAATATATATACATTATTAATTATACATTAACATTAACATATTAACATTAACATATTATATATTAACAAAACATTTTTTAAAAATATTTTGCAATATTTTTAGTTTTGTTTTGCATATTTAATCTTGATATTTCATGGATTTGAATAAAGTAAAATAAAAATTCATTAGAAAAAAAAAATATTACATCAAATAATATATTAATTATTAAATATTACTTAATGATTATAGTATTGTATTTAATTTTTCATATGATAAGGAATGCTAAATGTATGATAAAAATGCTTTATTATTTCAGATAAAACTTTGAAAAAATTATTTTTTTGCATTGCGTAATATGTTTATATATTCAATTTATTTCAAAATCTTACATAAGTATAATCTTTTATAGTATAAATATCTTACATAAATATCTGGATTTATATTCTTTTGATTTAAGCTATGTTTCCTATTTTTATTAACAATATTATAAATTTTTTTTTTATTAGATTTGAATCTACGTATTATATTTTATTATATAAAATAACTTTTATTAATTAAACTGCCACCAGGTCTGTGCCATAATTTTTCGTGATTCATGCTTTTAAGCTTCTTTCCAAATTTCTATTTTTTCATTCCTATTTTGTTTTATTATTTCTCTAGTTTTATTTATATTTTGTCTGCAAAATTCCACTTAGATCTGGTCGTTAGTTAACCAGACCCAGGTAAATCTCTTCGTTTTTTCTTTTTTATGACCCCTTTTCGCTAACTCCAACTTACTCTATATGTCTGTTTTTTCCTCTTCTCTGGATTTTCTTTTTCTCTCTTTTATATCTCTTATCTTTATCTTTATCTTGTTTGATATTTTTAAAAACACTTGTTTTTCTGTCGCGTTACAATCTTCATTGTTATTATTGCTATAAGTGCATTTGTTTATTTGATGAATAAAATATACATTTTAATTACAGAATACAATACAGGATATTAATGTATTCGTGCAATATCTTTGAATGATTAATTCTAGAAGAAACAAATAAATATTGAATTGACAAAATGAAATCTAGATGATAAAATGAGATATCTTCAGTCATCTAGTTTTGTCTCTACTTTACTTCATTTAACACAAACTTATTCATAAATTACTCATAATTCAATAAATAAGTTTATGATATATAAAAATACCATACAAATATTTAATTTTTATTATATTATATTTTGATTTATCTATTGTAGTATGAAAATTTCTTTATTCTACATAACATGTAAGACTGAATTCTAAATATTGAACTCCATTCTTTTATTTTTATATTCAGCTACATTTTATATTAAAATTCTAATATTTAAATATATAATTTCATCTTTCTCTCTCTCTCTGTTCAAATAAGATGTTCCACAATATAAGATGTCATATTTGAAATGTAAATTATTATAAACTTTAAAATTTCGAAAATCTATTTCATTCTATTTCTTAGAATATAACTAATCGAGTTTTTTTCAAAGTAGTTTTATTGTTTTATTATACATCTGTCACTCATGATAAGATGAAATCGAGTCATAGAAATATGTGTATAATACTTGAGTGTTTGTTTAAATTACAAAACACGATAACAACAATTTTTTATTGTTTTTTTTTAAATTTAGATAGTTTTATATCAAAAAGAATTTAATCAAAATTAAAAGAGATTTATATTGCACAATGTATCGATGACTAATATAATTTAAAATTATAAAATCGTTTAACAATATATTTATTCCAACTTTAATGTAACTAACTATGTTAACTCAGTTAACAATATAGAAAATTATCTGTAATAATCTGTAATAATTATGAATATATGCACCTTCAATTATTAATTTCGAATAATTCGATTAATTTCAAAATTACGAACTGTTACGATAATTGCCATACTTTTTATAAATATATTCCTATATAATAATATGTATAATTTTGGAAAAATATCAGTAATATTTATAATCAAAACAGTTTATGATATAAATTTGTAAAGAAAAAAAATTCCTTTTCAAGAATCGCTGTCATATTTAAAAGTATATGAAAACTTCTTAAAAAATTATTTCTAAAGAAGATGAATATACTTAAAGATTTCGAAAGTCGAAGTATAATATCAATGATAAAATTTCAGAATCAAATTTTTAGGAGAAGATTATTGGAAAAGTTATATGGACAAAATTCTATTTTAATTATTAAAATCAAAATGTTAATAGAAAAATTATAATGATTTCATAATACACTAAAATTTAATATTTATTGTTATCGAAAATAAATACATTTTGTTGTTTAATATGCAATATCAAATACTAAAAATTATGAAAAATTACGAAAATTACGAATATGATATATGTAATTATTATTGCAAAATTGATCGATAAAATAATGTATAATATTATATGAAGAATTAAAAAGCCAATCAATACATATTCTCTGAAAATGACATATAATTCAAAAATCTTTTTATTGTTCAAATTTTCAGTTAACAGCAAATAAAATCAATCAACTAACCACTTCATTAATTCATTGATTCGTTCATATTGACTTAATTGATTCGTCAATTGAAATTTAAACGGTAAAAAATATTTATATAAGATGTTATATAAGAGAATATAACTGAAGCTTTCACATCTCTCTACTTTTATCGTAACAAATCTATCGAAACTAATCGATTAAATCTAATCGATTGCAATAATCTCTTTCGAATATTGATTTATCAACTTTAAGACAAATTTCCAGATTTAGATATCCAGATTTAGTTTGCGCTTCTTTCTCTTCTTCTCAACTCTGCGGTAAAGCATGTACAAAATGTATCTACAAGAATGGAACTTGGGGGAGGGAACCGCAACATCGATACCACCATCGTATTCATAGTAGGAGGAGGTTGATACAAATTAGCAGTCGTAGCCAGAAACATGATCCAACTAATCCGTAACCCAGGCTGTGCGGCTTGTTGTTGCGGCATTGCAAACCTTAACAAGAACGTAGCTACGTTACATCCGATTGTAAACGAATCGTTGAACAAACAA